AAATTCTATCGCTTCCTGTGAGAAATATGGCATGAAGAGAAACGGTGGCGTCACGTATGTGGTCGTCACTTGGGCTTCACCACTCCTACGAGTGGGAATCGTCACCAAGTACCCCGAAATCAAAAAGAAAAGGTCAATTAATTTCTTTNGTTTTTTGCTATGGCGCCACATGTTAAGTGGAACCATGATTGAGTTGGAAACGAAGCAAAACTTAATTGTTTTAATGTTACAGTAACTACCGTTCAGCATAAGTTCACTTAATGGTCAAGATCTTTTCATTTTGCAAGACAACGCTCGAAAACAGTCTCTGCCGGAACTTTTCCACCAATGTTTCAATGATTTACCAGGTCAACAAGGGACTGATATCACCGTAGAAAGTGTACGTTTGAAACCAGATGACACCCTGAACCTTCACGACAACCGTGCTCATTTTTATTTCTGATTCATTCAATTTCGAAAGACTGAAAGAGAAACCTGAGGAATACCCTATGATCATGGTTTTTGTGCATACGCTGCATGTCAAACACTCGTATAAAGAATTTTTTGTTAAGTAATAAATAGTTATTAAATTAGGCTCAACCGGTACGAAGACAACAAAGACTCAAAGACACTTGACACTCGCTACAAGGATGATTCAATCGTAAATACAACACAGCTTGCTACTATACACACTATATTCTATTAATGCGGGTTAATATAAGTATTAATGATTAGAGCACAAAGCTCTACAAACTATTGGCAATTTCACTGGAACACCACAGATACATCTCTTATGATTATGACAATAATTAATAGCTTAGATTGGTCACCGGGACGTCTCTGTTATGTAGAGCTCACATTTTCACTACCAACATGGGATCGAGGCGAATCTCCGCCAAATAATCTCCGTTCGCGCATTTTGTCTCGCTAGAATTGCAATATGGCAAACTGAAATCGTAACGACGAAGAATATGCACAGCAAATAAGCGACTAGTGCTCTGCAGTTCATCCACATTCCTTTTGTGACAGTGCAAGAAGTTACAACCTGACCAGTTAGCTGCGTTGGAGCCTCGAATATCGATACACCTTACTCTAACCGTCCAACACGCAACCCCCCCCCCCCCCCCCCCCCTGGGCACCACAGGAGTTTTGGTCACCCATTCGCTACAGGAAAACTTCCATCTCCTCTGGCAAGAGGGCTGCTTAATCAAGTGAATGCACAAAAATAACACCCTATTGGAATGCAGATGAACTACACTGTACACAGGCAAAGCCAAAGCACGAAGATGGCAACAAATCGAAGTAAAACGAATAAAACCTGTAACGACTTGAAGCAGGCAATTGCAAAGCTGTAAGCTTTGTAAGTGGGAAACTCATCATAAAATGAGTTTAGCATTGAGGGGAAGATCCACACCTACGTGATTAGCATCCGTGTACTCCATGGGCAGAGTGCAAAGCTGGTTAAGGTAGGTGCAGTGGACACAACGGGTGAAGGCGTAACTTCAGAGTAAAAGGTTAGAAGACGACTGGGCAGAACAGTGTGAAGAAAGTGTTGACGTTGATCACATCTGATCATCTGGATCGTGATGCCGACGAAGAACCGTCGCTGAATGCAGGTGGTTAACAGACACACACCACAACACAACATTTATAACCATTTGAAAATCATAAAAAGTAGAAACCGAAAAAAGGAATAAGATTCACTCACAGGCACCATTACTCCTACTCTAAAACTTAATGCTTCACCTAATTTTTATTCCCATGGGGACCGTGTGCATGGGAAAAGAGTACAACCCAGCTCAGTGCTATGAAATAGTAATTATTAGATACAGTCCACCATGACCTTGTAGAGAAATAGTAAATAGAAAGCCAGAGAAGATCGCGAAGCAATTCAAATGATTTCCTTGAGGGTTGTCATGCAATCATCATTACTGACTAGAACCTGTTTTAGTCTCTAACTTTTCTCTTGCTTTAAATTCGATAACAGTCTACACCAATTATATTTTGCAAGGTTTTCCGATGAAAGTTTATGTGGTTTTTATAAGGCTGTAGAAATTGAACAGCATGAACTACCCATTTTGAGCTTACTGACCAGCCTTAGGTATCCTGCAGATAGTATTTTGAGCAAAAAAACTCCAATCTTCTGAAGACTTCCAACAACTTTGCGAAATGTATGGGCATTTACACTAAGCGCAGGTGAAAAAGGACGGAGTCAACTTTGATAAGTCAAGTGCATTATAGCAATATGACCCTATCTGTTGTAGCGGACGGAGACCGCCTTTGCTAAGGTGGGTGACAGAAATGAATGAGACCTCGTTTGGCTGTTTTCAAACTTATAGTAACTTGATAATGTCTTTAGCACTTCTAAGTTATTGCGCTAACTTCATCGTAGATGAAAAGGAGGCATAAAAGACTGTCCCGGAATACCTCGCAGCGCTAAGACTTCTAAAGGTATCTCGAGCTAAGTGGTTCCATGTTACCTTTTAGACCCTCCAGTTTTGAATAAGACCAGAGCAATATAGAACAAGAGCAGTAAAATCCATTTGCTAGGAACTCCCCAATAGGCTCAATGAGTAAAAGCAGTTGAAAAAACAAGTACACAAAGAAAAAAGGGAAAAACGTAGCCATGCAAAAAAAAAAAAAACAGCGCTGGGACCACTAAAAGATCACCAGACTAAAAGTAGGGAAAACATGAGCGACCTCCCCAAATTTCTTGTATCTTCATACTTATTATCACCTCTTGTAATGAAATCACATCACTGCTGTAACCGGTGTTGCATGGTACATCCGATACAGTCTGTCGCTACCAGTTGAAATCAAATTTGGAGCTCTAACTAAACAGTACTTAAAAAATTGTAGACATTACAGTGAAAACATATGAAGGGGAAAAAGATTGACAAGCATATTCTGTATATGAGTAACTTAGCGGAATTTTTCGATTCTATTTTGTCAGAATCGTGGGCTCTATAAATGACAATTAGAAAGTAGACATGATTGGAAAAATCCATGAGGATATAACTATGAGGAATGAGACCCACAACAGGATAGTTTAGGTAACCAATAAGCGTCACCAATACACTGTATACTTTAAAGACAATTACCCTTGCAAATGACAAGACAATTGCCTACACACTTAATTCTATATACACACCTTACTGATAGAAGAGACTTAAGAAAAGACATGTAAGAAAACAAAACACATCAAGGAATAGCAGTCTCAGGAATATTCGCATACAGCAAAAAGCAAGCAATAAATTGTAAGAGATAAGTTTATGAATTTGCAATCGCCAAGGTTGAACTTGAAGCATAAAGTAGGCTTTTGCACATATATTATTTATTGTAGATTTTTTAACAGAATTTATTTACCAAAACGATCACGGTACTGTTGGTAACATTTGGAATCTCTTTGGGTGCAACACTTCGAGACACGTAAAAATGGAAACCACCCTCTTTCACGTTTTAAAAAGACATCATTCCATCCCCGTAAGAAAATGATTTAGGGAGGCGCATACTCTTTTTCCCACCAGTCACGGAAAAAGGGTCGTAAAGGTACCATCTATTGCGGTCGAAAATTTTGTGAGGGACATGTTTAGTCAATAAATACTTGAAAAATTTGAATTTAAACAACCTTCAACTACAACTCTTCTGCTTGGTGCTCCTCCGCAGATAGTTCAAATCGTCAAGTAAGTACGCTACTTTCTAAATTTTTTAAGAGCTTTAAAGCATAGAAGTGTGAAAAAACTCAGTATTGTCGACATTCCTGTTGATGAGTAGAGTAGGCTATACTTGTGAGAAAAACAAACGAGTTCCTAACCCTAGAACAAAAGAAGATGCATAAGAACAGACTATAATTACTGCATTAACCCAACGCTTAACACCGCGGGACAAAATGCTCTTTGACTTCTGGAAGGGTTTAATAAAGGACAGACTGAGAACTGATTCTAAGAAATGATGACACGCGTTTAAAATGCTTTTAAGTCTAAAGCAGTGACTTAGCGCTGCTTGCTGTAATATGCACAGATAGGCTCTCGAATTCGTTGGCCCAGAGAGGATTTTGATCATAAGTATACGCTTCTACCGAACACTGATATTGTTTCGAACATAGATTCGCAATATGCAGCCAAGAACAACAAAAAGCAAAAGAAATCCATATTTTTCAACAGGAACTCGAAAATCAAATCCAATGCATTTTNTTTTCCACCTAACCAAGTATACTTCTATGAGATAGAGAGATATCAAAAACACGGGCGGATCCTAGAATTTTTGGAAGTCTCACCATGAGAGAACATGGCGAAGACACAGTGAGAATTTAAAGCTAACTTGATACCGCTTGCACTGGCTAATAGCATTTTCCACCGCCGTGAGAACACTTTGCACTAGCTATTAACGAATTCAGTAGCAACTTATTATTGCACTTGATTTTCTCGCTCTTGTGCCAACTTTCGAAATTAAATAAGCATTCGAAGCCAGTGGCAGCAACATATTACGGTCCAATGCTTTTCATTACCCGTGTCCAAATAGGATTAGCTGCAGTGATAACACTGTTAAATGTGCTAGTGAGCATACACAAAGCCTCTCCTGAACATTGGTTACGAGGAATTCCTTCACCATTAAAACAAGAAAATAACAAACAAATACAATTCTGAGGGCTGGTACTTATGGAAACACCGCCACCAAGAACTGGACAACACGAAACACAAGGGCCCGCTACGATGTTAATGAAGCATTAATTCATATGCGCTAAGGTCAAGGTCACTAAATGAAAAGGAAAACTCACAGCCGCTGGTTCGAAGAAGGATCTTGTTCATTAGTCACTGTAATAGAATGTGTAGCAGTGGTCACCGCCGGTGGCACAACGTCCGAGCGCTTCTCCACCCTTAAGGAACCACATTTAAAAAATCGTATCCGAAAACAAACATTCGAAACAACGAAAATAGAATTTGTTCGGATAATGGAAGATATATGTATACTTGCAAACAAGATTTTTCTTAGTGACTGTCACTCTAAAAAAATGAAAGCCGCTAAACGAACCTTATCAATCCAAATTCGTTTGACCCCAGTATACAGGCAGGAATTTCACGCCTCTTGAATACTTCAGCTACATATAGTGCCTGGAAAACCAGAATTCCTTTTCGTGCCTGGAAATCAACCTTATCCATTGACTTACGAGCAAACTCACCACGAAAATCCCTATTGCACTTCCAATGATTGCGCCAACAAGAACATCCGACCAATGGTGTTTGTAATCGGAAACCTGAGAAAAAAAGTACTCATGCTGTTTTTCTCAGAAGTACTCCAGTGCAGTAAATCTTACTCGAGTGAGAGCGACGTACGATGCCCCTCCAAACAACGAGAACTGGATAACTGGTAGTAGCAGCCGAGAGAACAATGGACGATAGAGACGAGCTTGGAGGTAAAGCTTAACAATGGAATAATAAATAAGAATCTTGCCAGTAATCTATCGGACAGTACATTTATCCAGGGTTTGACTAATGGACTCTACATAGACCGCTCCATTTAAAAGTTAATTCAAAATATATTGATAAAGGTTAAGGCAATTTGACAAACGGGTTATTTTTCTTTACTTCAGACAACTTTGAATTGTTTGGAGAAGTAGGGTACAAAAAAAACTTTATGGAACCAAAACTGCATGTAAAGCTATAGATGAAATGACAAGACAATGACTTCACTTACCGATGTGAACCACGCTCCATAGAAACTGAAAGCTGAGTGACCCGAGTAGAATGACAGCTGGGACTCATGAATCAGCTTCTCATCCCCTCCCGTGCAAGTAAAGTTGGTAATATAAACATCGGGATTTGTACACTGAACAAACATCACTCTCGCATGATGCACTCGAAAAAAATTTTCTAAGATGGCTCACCGTTTCGTAACCCACGTTCGGACGACAAACATCCATGAAATGTGGTCTCTGACGTCCGATAGTGTATTTTGCGATGTCCACCATCAGCTGATTGAAGCAAACGCCAAGGAAAAAGTATCCTGAAGTAGTCTAGCTGGGGTGATCAAAATGAAGTTTGATACTTTCAGACTAAGTGGCAAGAACATACCGATGAAGCAGTACAGACGAACAACGAGGCGGTGAACAGAGTATTGCTTCAGATGATACGTTTTGAACTGCGACTCACATTTCCTCTCCCATGCCATCGTTCGGAAAATTTCTGTGGCGATAATCTATAAAGGCATAAAGAGATAATCTTGCGGCATAAGGAAGCGAAATCTCGGGTGCTGATTAATTTTTCTTCCGGATTATACAAGAAAACTTTAGTGACATCTAACCTCTCCTCTTGGAAAACAAAAGACCAAAGCGGTCTAAAATGAGGAATGGTCTAGATGCAGCTGACTCACTCTGAAGGAAGGGACAAGAAGATGAAATGGAATTCGGCTTTGAATAACTAATCGGCCTTGCACCACAAAACATGCATGCTCAAAAAATAGCGATCAGTTTTTCCCCAGAGTTGATTACCTATGAAATAGCCCCACCCTTGGCACCCCTTAAGACGAAACGCAACTTAAAGGCATTCAAGGAGAAAGAGCATTTGAAAAAGCATTTATGCGAAATGCTTTCAAATTCATCGCTTCTGGAAAAATCAAAAAAAAAAACAAGGATAAAAATACAAAAATATTAGTTGCTTACCAGAAGTGTTGGTACGAGCAGTCCAATTACTATTAGCATTTGTCTAGAAACGGTTGAGCTTCGATAGGGATAGCGAATGGTTTCATCGTCGCAGTAGAACCCTCGTTTATACGGTTGTACCCATACGTGGAAGATCAACAACGGTATCGCTAAATTAGAAATCATAGACAAGAATAGGAGGAAGTAGTGTCAAAGTATAATAAGGGAAGAAAGACACATGTTCCCAAGTTCTAATTTGTTTTTCTATAAAGCAAAACTATGACATGTTAAGAACACTATCATTCGATTGTAATGCGTAAAAAATAGTCATAATAGTAGAATTTGAGGTTCGTAGGTGACGTATAATGTCATTAAATGTAAGGTTTTACTGCTATATTAGGCTCATTTTATCAAATTGTATAACCTGTACTTAGTGAGTACTTAAGCTAAAACATACCGCAACAGGAAAGGATCAAGAAGTCGCATATTACACGAGATACGCGAATCGTATCCGACATGTCGGCGGTGGTGACCCGGCCTGAAAGCCACAGGCGTGCCTGAAAATATGTGTTAATTATAGATTGGATCACGTGAAAGTGAGGCACCTTAACGACTGTGGACAAAAACTGTGCTCACGGAAATCTCCGTGGACTATAACACAATTTTATGGTTTATAAGAGGCAAACAAAACAGTCAAGCAATTAGGGAGCAGAACTGTGAGGCAACAGAGAGAGTGAAAAAATGGCTATCAATAGAAACAGAAACACTAACCCATTTGTCAAATTCGTCAAAATCGTCAGCTGAGATTGAAATTCTACTTCTCATAATACCTTTTCTAAATCTCTTTGATATAGCACATAATATAATATATATTTTAATGTACAAGTTTCAAGCCTATAGAAATTTGCCCTAGAACAAAAATAAGTTTCATGTCACCTGTATCACCTGTACCCCCTTGATGGTCGATTTCCTCGAACGGGCGAAGTCCGCTAATGTTTACAAAAACTTCAAAGCAAGCTATGTTAGCCGAGAACTGATGCACGTTTAGGATATTTCATTGTCTAGCACTAAATGGACATACATATTCTGAAACCGGTCAAATACCTCCAATAGATGTGCGGCTATTAAGGGTGTGCTGCCTACCTATTAGCTTAGGCCAGGCGCAGATGAGCGAAGCGGTAAATGTCAGACTGAAAACTTTTTGAGAGTCTCAAATATCTTAATCAAAAAGTTAACGGGACATTCTGAATGAGTAACCTGTAAGCTTGGCGACTTCGGACTTCATATTTTTGAATCTCTAGCGTGACCCATTGAAACAATTTTTCAAGGATGAAAAAAGAAAATAAGAATTCCAAAGGCAAGGCTTCGGGTTCAAAAGTTTCCAGCCAGTCAATGTATATTGATAGTGTGAGAAAATGTTTAATTAATGAATCAATCTGTAAAAAAAAAACAACGAATCAGACGAAAATAAAATGGCTCACTTTCTCGAACTGAATCGCCGTTGATGGTGGAGATGAGCTATTGGTGCAAAATATGTCACCCATCAGTATGGCGATGTCCGTGGTGTCAGGGGAGATACGAGTTTCAGTGGGGAAGGCCACTCGCAGGAGAGTCCTACACGTCCCAACCCGTGTTAACGAGTCTATTTCATCTGCTTCTATGAGCTCTACATGGATAACATGTCAAAACATGACGCAACTGAAGATTTCAAGCCCAGCTGTCAAGTACCGTGAAGTGTACGCAATATTTGACAAACGGGCGGGCTGACGTGGTTACTTCGTGAGCGCGCGTGAGGCACGAGCCCTATATACTATATAAAACACTATATAAAACGCAATAACGCAACGGCACTGTATAAAATGATCTAGGCTTACATGGCCTTATGTTAACGGATTATATTTCGTACTTTGCACGTTTTAGACGGTGATGTTTGATGTCGTTTTCTGTTCGAATCTGTACAGTAGTGAACATTCCTGATTGCTGTCTGCACTTAAACAGATCGTCAGCTCTGTACGTAGTCCAAATAAAAAGTCCGCATTCAAAGCTTGATCCGCGTTGAAAAAAAAACGTTTCCATCAATCAATTGTCCCAGATGAAGATCGTGAGCATATCCGGGTACAACGAACGGTGGGCCAGAACAATGGCTTCCTTCACAGATTAAAAGAGAGATGTATGTGTACTTGAGCCAACATTGTGCAAAAGATTTTGCAAATGCGTCTACACAAAAAGTCCCTAAAAAGTCACTGCTGCGGATGAGTTGTCCGGTGGGTTGTTTCACTGACCATATTTTTCGCTGTGACTGCCTAGCATCAACAACGGTGACTGTATGAGGGATTCATTTATATTCTAATTGTAAGTTGTAACACTGGGGGAGCAGTGACAGAAACAGAAAATAAAGCTTGATGGGAGTTTTACAATATCCTGCTGAGTGCTGTAACGATTTCAGTGGTCTATGATCACGCCCGTTGCTAAGCAAGTGTCGCGCGAAATGCATTGGAATGTTTCCACACGCATGATGCGCTTCGATGAGTTTTTGCTCGGGAATGCGTGTTTGTGCAATTTCCACTTAATTCTTTCAACCCCCTTCCCCCAACTCCCCCCCCCCCTTTAAGACCCCTACACTTAGTTTGCTTTATTTTTATTGGCCACGAGTTTTAGCAATCCGCTAATTCATTGCTCTCCTCTCTGAAGAAGCTGATTCCCAAACTGATGTTTTGTAAAGGATTCATGGAGATTATTGTTTTTGTTAGGCACCACGTCAATACCCCTATGTTCTTACCCTCCAGAAAATTCCTTGACGTGTCTATTTGCTCTTCCAGCCATTCTCCTCTCATTCCTCCCTCTCCATCATCAATCATCGCAAACCTAATGCTCTAAAAATACTTTGAAGATATAGCAGTACTGGGTAAAATGAGTTCATACTCTTGGAGGTTTTTCGTGACACAACGGAAAAAGCGGAGGGGATCGGCCCTGGAATCAATAATTTTTCTTCAGCATCGATAGTGATTGCAAGCTTTGTCTTCCGAAGGGATTACGATATGAGTGCATTTCCTCTTGATCAATCAAGTAGATTACCAACAATGAAAGTAAGTAAGCGAGTCTAGTTTAAAACTATTAGGTTGATGCATAATTATTGCGGATTTTTTCGCAGCTTTTTTTCTCTCGATGGAATTTGAATATTGAGTCCGAGTTTTTTCTAGAAATGATCTGCTT